TCGTGGTGGTACGGGGTAATACTGCGATTGTTGCTGATGACAGCGGCGGTGCCATAGCCATTGGCAGTGCCGCCGCTGGAGATGCGCAAGGAGAAGCCCGTCGGGCCTTGAGCTGCCGAGCTGTTCAGCGTGAAGCTTCGACGGCCAACGGTGGGGTTCGCCTTCAGCGTGAACAGCCCTCCTTCCTCCTCGGACTTGATCACGCTGAAGAAGTTGCCCATGGTGGCCATTCCACCATTGCCACCACCACCTTCGCCCTCGTAGAGGCTGCCATTGGAGGAAATGGGCGACTGGATGCCCGAGTAGCAGAGAACCCGATCACGGGCGTTCGCCGCCGCCGCCACCGCTACCACCGGGATGGAAATAGCCGCCGAGACGGTGTTGTTCTTGAGGGTGGGCGAACCCTTCTTCGTCGCCGCCGCTCCCTTTGACGGACGGCTCTTCTTCGACTTCAGCTCCACCAGCGCGTCCTCGGGCTCAGTCTTGATCAGCAGCACAGGGCAGCTCTTTCCACCTCCACCGCCAGCAGTAACCTTGGACTTTGAGCCCTTAGAGGTGGGCGTAGAGGCCCCCTCTTCGCCCACCACCGGCTTGACCTTCTTCCTCGGGCGGTACTTGTAGTCGGGGTACTCCTTCTGGTGGAGGGCGCGGAGGCGCTCCGCTTCGCGAACAAAGGGCAGCCGCTGCTCGCCGGTCAGCTTCTTCCAGGTGCAGCCCAGGCGTTTGCTGATGTCGGCGTTGTGAATCTCCGGCTCCTGTTCGCAGATCTTTCGCCGCTCAATCTGCGACCAGACCATGAAGGCGTTCATCGGCCGCTTGATGTGATTGCTGCTCCGCTTGCAGCGCGTGGCGTCGGTGTACGGCGTCGCCGAGTGCTGCGACACCTTCAGCGAGCCAAAAGCCGCCTCGGCGTTGTTGGTCGCTTGCTCAGTTCCACCAATGGTGATCACCTCGCCGCTATTGCTGCGCTTCGATCCGCCGCCACGAGGTGAACTTCCATTGCTGGCAGTCTGCTTGGTGGCTGAAACCGTCTTCTTCCCGGTGCCAATCAGCTGGAAGATGCAGCCGCCCTCTGAAGGCGCCGCCGCCAGAGCTGTCACGGCAGCCACTCCGTCGCCTGCCATTGACTTGTTATCAGCAGCAGCGGTCGTAGTAACGATATGCTCCATGTCTTACAGTGTCGTCGTAGTAGTAGCTGCTGATGGTGAGGACGAGGTGATGAAGATAAGAGAGCAGATGATTGCAAATCACAACACAGAGACGGAGTCAGTCAGTCAGTTAGTCAGAGTTAGGCAGAACACTTCGCCCGCACGGTGTGGCGTAGGTGTGCTGACAACCAGAGGGAGAAGGGACCAGAGACAGGGCAAGGCAAGGCAATGACAGCGCTGGTGGAAAAGAGGACTAGAGCTCGAAGGGACTAGGATTGCGGCCACTGATGGTAGTAAAGGGAGGACGACCGAGATTAGCCGCTGACGAAATTCAGAGACAGAACAGAAAAAAGTTGCGACCGTTGGACGAGCCTGCTGCCGCCGACTGCTGCTACTGCTTCTGCCGCTGCTTTTGCTGCTGCTGTTTTCCCCGCTGCGGCGCGCTGCTGATGCCGTGCGCTGAGTAAGAGAGAGCGAGAGCGAGAAACGGCGCGCACGTTGGTTTGAATGGACGCGCCGGGGAGTGCAAGAGCAGGAGGAGGAGGAGGAGGAATTGAGGTGGAGGTGGTGCCCAGAAAATACGTAACACCGAAAGAGATTGCAGTGCGGATGATGAAATGGTGTGTGTGGGTTCGAAAAGATGAAAGAGAGGAGATACTGAGGGAAGATACTGATGCCGAAGATGTTGATGATGCTGAAATAGAAAGCACGGAGATGGCGATGATGG